TTCATTTTTGCCAATCTTAGTGTATTCGTTCCCCACCAGGGTAGGGGCAGCTATATGAGTCTATCTGGCATGTGATATACCTCGTTTGAGAAATAGTAACACAATTAATCTTCTTCCAGTTTGCCTTCGAATTGATTCATTGCTTATGCATGATTAAGTCGGCCCCTTCTTTCACCCTTTGTTTCCTACATAGGGCATGGGCAACTATTTGAATCTATTTAGCATTTCAGTCCACTTTGTTCATGAAACCCCAGTAAGGTATTGAGTTAGTATTATGTATGATTTTTACCATTCCTCAATATTTTCATTTTACTGACTGCGCAAACATCAAGTTGGGCCAACATGTTAATTGCACTTCACTCACATTCATTCATTAAGACAATTTTGATGCACAATAGAACATTTTCCTTTATAAAGTAACTTGTTACATGAGTTGGTCATTTTACATATGAAAACGACCCTAGTACATCAATTTTTAATAAACACAAAATAAAATAATTAAAAACGTCTCACCCTAAACAAAAACAAAAAGACAAAAAATAACTAGGCTACATTACAACTGAAGCCCACTACAACAAAAAGCATATTTTATAGCATTCGATGTATGCTATCAAAAGTAAGCAATAGCATCCGTTGGAATGCTATGTTTGCCCATGTTATTAAAAGTGTATCATTTTTAATAACATTTATCGAATGTTATCGTTGAACGCTATCATAAATATATTATAACAATTTTTGAATGCTACGAAATAGTTAAATGTTTCTAAAAATACCAAAGGATAGCATTTTGTTAATGCTATGAAATTGTTTTTATAGTAATCTAGTAATGTTACAATTTACCATATCATAACTAACTAAGAATGTTATAATAAAGCATGATAATATTTTTTAAATGCTAGAAACACCTCATTATGATAGCAATTTTAAATGCTATCATATAGTATTTATTAATATAATAAAAATCCATTCCAACACCAATATTGGAAACCTAAATCCTGTAAATGCAACAAACACATTTTCATCCATCACATACAAAACTATATCATCATTAAAAAATAACTCATCACCACAAATTTCAAGAAATAATAAAATCGTCATAACATTGTCTTAATAAAGTACCAAAACACAATCTCTCATTATGTTCAGAAAAATAAAAACAAAAACTTAAAGTCATAATGTCGGTATGTACAAGACAATAACACATTCAAATTCCTTTTTCTGCACCCACAAACTTCCTAGCTGACTTCTATTGGTTCCATTTTCTTTCCAAACCTAATAACTGTAAAACAATAATCAACACATGACAGTAAGTATAATTAGTTTAATAGTAGTGTATATCATTAAAAAGGAAAAATAAAAATAAAATTATATCAATAAACGAAGTATTTATACCTAATGCTTATATCTCTACTCTCTTTTCTTTTCAAAAGCATGTAAGGAAATACAAAGTGACATAGGAAATGCAAAGGAGAATCGCCATTAAGAATTTTTTATTTTATTTTTTTTAAAAATGAATTTTTTTTATCAGCAAAAAAAGAAACTTTATTGATGAAATCAAAATATAGAAACTATGACAATACATCAATAAAGGGAGGCGAGAGCAAAAAACATCATAGCATTATTTCCTAATCCCAACTAGGTTGGCACTCAGAAGAACACCTAATCATATGCTAGCTCAAGCCAAAAAGTTGGTAAGGAACTAACAAAAAAAAAGAAAAAGAAAAAAGAAGAACTTGGCCCAAAAAAAGCAAACCAACTAACAGAACAAGCAACCAAATCAAGAAGCACCAGCAGCAACAAAACAAACAGCAAATTAAAAATCCACTAGTAACAAAAACAAGCAGCAATAGCAACCAAATCACAAGCTAGGTAAAAAGAACACCCAATCCACTAGCAGCAGCAACCAAATCAAATGCTAGGCACAAATCATTCATCTCCTACGACCCTGAGCAAAACCCAACGCAGATGCCTTCAACTTCTCCTCAAACCAGTAGAATTTCTTACCTGCTATAGATTTAACAGTACACGCAAGCTTTATGTTTGAGTGCATGTTTATATATTTTTATATTTAGTTTTCTGCAAAATGTTCAAACATGTACTCAGTTATTGCTATTCTATGATAGAAGCTGGAAAATTTCTTAAATATTCTAAAATGGTAGGGTGTCACAAATTTGTCCAATAATTTTTAAGAGTTGGCAACATGGTGGCTTGTGATGGATATGATGATGTGATAAAAAGTATTTGAAAATCTTAATTTTATGCAATTTTGTCTTTTATTTGGTTCTCAAGGAATTACCCTGTTTTCAATTAGACATAGATGTGACTGTTATGAACTTAAGGAGATGGTAAAAGTTTGAGCAACTTTTTGGTGAAGGCAACACAAGAGGGATTATTTTTTAACATTGATGATTGCTAGTCTTAAAATGTGGGAGTAGGAGGCACGAAAACTACAAAGCTATTCAAGTTAGATTGGATCTTATAATGGCAATATTAGTGTTTTCATGATCGGTAGTATGTTGTTTCATTAGAAGTTTTTGTGGAGTCTTGCAAACTAATTCACACCGTTGATTGACTTCTTGAGGTTTTTGGGCTTTAGCTTACTCTTCTTTTTGTAATATCCTATCGCTTAAAAAAGTGTTATTTCTTTCGTAATATCAAGCATTCCTTACTCTTCTCTTTGTATTGTTTTATCTCTTAATAAAGTATACTTCTATTGCATTATAAGGATTTCGGTTTAGATCCGACCCGTCTATTCATAAAAAAAAAAAACATTTCTACATTCTCTACAAATACATTTCTCTAGGTAGAATAAATAAAAATGAATATAATAAGATTTAAATTGTTCATGAAGAGTAATATTTTTATTCTTTTAAAAAATTACCAACCTGTAGAAGTGATCATTGTCCCATAACAACTTTGTCAGCTGGCCATGCAACTAAGTACCCACAGCGTCTTCGATGTAAGTCATGTCAGCAGTAGGCCACCATAAATATGCTCCAACTTCTCTTGCAAGATCTACCCATACTCTCATGGCATTAGGTCCAATAGGAATGTGATGGACAAGTTGTTTCGGATCACTTAAAGACCAACGCCCTTCAGCAACTACTTCCCCTGGCCCCATCCAATCCAGCAACTTGCATTTCTTGTTGGGGGTGTTAGTGTTCTGACATTTTAGTAACAAGGCAATGACAAACAAGAGAAATTGTCACTCATATATGGTTGTTAGCTCACCTTTTTCTCTATATATATACACTATGTTAATATGTAAACCCTCTCATTTGGTGATTATTATTGAAACTTTCTTATGTTTTTCCTCTTGAATTCTTCAAATTTTTTTCCTAGCAAATCAATCAGGAAAGCATTGCTGTAGCACATACATTTTACTTAGCTTTGTCTCAAAAGCATCTCTTCTACTTTCAAAGTTACAATTCCTTGTATATGTCATTGCATTTGCGTTTTTCTTTAACTCATTACTATTGGTGTTAGATGGATACTTAAGTGGTATTCTAAAGTTGATCTCTACATATAAATATACTCAGAGAATGGAAATGTATGTGTGTGTGCATGTGCGCACACTACTTTCATGTAAAGGACATATTTCCAATGAAAATTGCTATAGTGTAAATAAGTACATGCCTGGCTGACAATGAAAGAAGATGGCATCATCACACGTGCCAAATTTATTGACGCAAGCCAAAAAGTACCAGAGACTGTTGGGACACCAGTCCACGTATATATTATTTATGTGGTGATACTGAACATTGATGTTATGTTAATGCTTAAAAACATATTTTCACCAATCACGAGCAGTGTGAAATGAGGTTACTGAGGTTAGGTTGTTACTTGCAGCTAATATATTGTAATGAAAGCACTACAGAATGTAAAACACAATGTTTAAGTGTTTAGTTAAACCTGCATTAGTATACCAAATTCAATCAGAGCATGACCTGTACAAAACAGAAAAATATAAGATAGCAAATAACACAAACAAAATTTATTGTTATCAGTGGCAAAGATAAAGATATCTGTTAAGAGGGACTAACACAGTTATATTAGTGAATCAGTTACGGGTATTTCAACACTGAAAAACAAAGTAAAAATAAAGAAAAGAAAAAGAAGAAGAACATCAGGTTCCTTCTAGTTAAAACCACCCTCTGAAGGGTAGACCTACCACCAAGTGCTTGGATAAAACTTTTTGGGTCCCTAATGAAAAAAAATCTTCTTCTTTGTCATATTATCTTTGAATTCATTAGGGTCCAACAAAATATTCTCAGGACCTATGTTACATGGATTTGGATACGGGTGCATATCTTGAGGTTGGATACATCAAATCTCAAATTTAAGGGTATATGAACTAGGCAAAAAAATATTATATTTTTAATTTTTAATCTATTATGTGAGATAAAATAATATTATATGTAACATAGTGTCAAATAAAAAATATTTTACTTATTTCATAGTAATTACAACAAATACACATACAAATACGAATATATAAGAATTGTCCACTAAAAATTATCAGACACATTCCACACCCATGACCAAGTGTCAAGTGTCCGAAACTGATATTTGATTTATTTTGAAGAATCAATGTAACATAGGTCTGGACCCCACTCAAATTTGGAAGTCCAATGACATAACTATAAGAAGACATGTGTTCTGATAGGTGCAGACCAAACCGCTAACCATGTTCTAAACCAGGAGACCAACCTCACAAGTGCACAGTCAGATAAAATCATGAGCTCATGGGGTCCTCTGACCCCACTCCCCATTAGGCCACATTATTCGATTTTGACACAAAATAGCCAACCAAATCTTGTAACTTTCTCAATGTTTCTCTCTACCTGCCTTAATCTGAGGTTCTTGGAGCCTTTCAGGACACATTTTTGGCGTCACATTCATTAAATAGTCATAGTCCTTAATACGAAAAGCACACCGTCTCTCACTTCCTCGTACTGCCGAAGTGATCTAAATCAAGCACTCTGAAGAAAGATAAAAAAATGAACGTAACTCCAATTTATGTTGAAATTTGGATGATGAAAATTGTTCTTAATATTTTTCGAGTTCATATTTTCATATATCTTGATTGCAGTTACTTGGTTGGATGCATCGCAAGTTCTGGGCCAATGAACCATTGAAGGATTTTAGCGTAGGTAAATCATGTCTGCCCTTACATATTTTTCTGCTAACGCTTTGCTAAAGCAATAATGAAAAGATTGGTGCACATGTTAGAGTCAGATTGTAAGTGCAGTATTAAACATAATCATGAGTAGTCATTATAATATTTGTGGTAAGACCAATATAAGCTAGTTGCATAATCAGTAGATCACTGGAAATTCGATAAGTCAGGTGTTGTTTAGGAAAGACAACTTCAAAGCAAAGTAGCTGTTACATACTTGGAAATAATTAACCACATAAGACCTGTGTACTTAGCAACTCTCCATGCTGCATGCTTATTAATAGCTGGAGTACAGCTTCAAGTTCAACTGAATGAACTACATACTGTAAGATTGTTACACTTGACATTCCCTTTGAGTATAATGCTAATAGTTTTCCCAATCAATATTCCTCCATTGCTATTTCTACACGTCCCCGATTCCTGTACTGAAAATTGATATAATGGTAAGCATCAACAAGCCCATGAGTCATGATCCATAATATTTAAAACAACAGCAAAGCATAATATGCCATTAATTCTTTTGAGATGCATTTGAAAACACAAACCTACATGACATCCCTTCCAACTAACGTCACCATTATCCCAATTATTTAACATTTCTTCTATCGGGGAATCCTTGTACTTGTCTTTCAGGGCAGCCATCACTGGATGACCAACAGTACTACCCACAGTCAAATTTTGGCACTAAATCCTTAGGCAAAGCACAAAGAGACAACCATCTGCGAAAATCATTTGCCAGCCTAGAAGCAGCAAGAGTAGAAGCGGACGACTTTGAAGAAGAATCTTCAGTTGCGATTTCTAAGCTCTTCAATGGCTTCCTTAACATAGGTACTCTTGGTTCAGACCCAGTCATCATAGACCCATCAACGCCAACATTTGCCATATTAGTTGAGAACATAACTGAAAAAGAAACAGAAGTAACAGAGAATGAACTGAAGCTTATTAATGATGAGTTGGAGAAGGTGCTAGGGACTGAAGGAGACGGTTGCAATGACTCATCTGGGGGAAACAGTCATGTTAGTACTGGAAGAAACAGTTATGTTAGTATTGGAAGAAGCAGCCATGGTAGCACCATTACACTTAGCGGAAAGCCATTGAAAGGCACAGAGACCAGTGGGAATGAAACAACAATCTATCCACTCCAGGGCTATCTATTTGGATCAGCAATTGAGTTGTCAGAAACAACCACAGTGGTAAAGAAGGAACATAGAACATCACTTAGAGAGCTGTTTCAGAGGACAAAAATAGCAGAGGAAAATTATGTAGCCAAAAGCAAGAGGGGAGAAAAACGGACATAAAATGAGACAGATAAATCAGCCATACACCTCATGAAAAAGATGCTAAAGAAAAGAATGGTTCATGGTTCTTCTCGGAGCTCCACCACATCGACTGGGGGAAATGTTGACTCTGCTTCATCTGAGACAAAACTGCATAAGGTATGTGTACTTCTAGTTTAGATCTATATTACATGAACTTGGGTGCAATGCATATCAAAATGCCGGACCCAACAAATCTCAAATTTAAGGTATGCAAACTCGGCAAAAAAAGGTCAATTTTTTTATATTATTTTTAATATATTATGTGAGACAAAATGGAAACATATAGTGTCAAAAAGGAATTTTACTTATTTTAAATCAATTATACAACAATATATATATATATATATAATGATAGTGTTAAATATAAATTTGTAAGAAGCATCCGATGGAAAGTGTTAGACACATACAGATATTTGATTTATTTTGAAGTGTCTACCTAACATAGGCTTAGATACTAAATCTTCTGAAATGAGCACACACAGCACTGCATCTCCTAGATGTGGTTTTGTTGGTACTATTAAGATAAAAAAAAAAAAAATCCCCATAATTGAGGATGCATATATATATATATATAATGATAGTGTTGAATATAAATATGTAAGAAGCATCCGATGGAAAGTGTCAGACACATACAGATATTTGATTTATTTTGAAGTGTCTACCTAACATAGGCTTAGATACTAAATCTTCTGAAATGAGCACACACATCACTGCATCTCCTAGATGTGGTTTTGTTGGTACTATTAAGATAAAAAAAAAAAATCCCCATAATTGAGGATGCTAGGAGGGATAGACTAGATACAGACTTGATCTTCGATATAATATGCACAAAGTGGCTGCCCTCATATTGAAACCCATGTTCTCATGCTTGGCATCCTGAGCATTTTTCCATTGCTCCAAGCACAATATCATCTGTAATTCAATTACAAAGAACACAATGTGACGTGTCAATAAACCAATCAGATGGTTGTCACTAAGCTTTTCTGAGTATTTCAATGAATTTGAATCCTATAGGATGCACTAGCAAGTCCAGGTTATGTATTCTCTGAATGGTTTCCTAATTCAACAAATTACTGCATGCAGATCCTCCACATGTTCCACATGAAAGTCCATTCTGAAAGCTCCATGGCTGCACGAAAATCTCATAAGCCAAGTAAAAATGACATAAAGAACAACATCACCTATGAGGGGGGGTTACAATAATGGAGATGGAATGCTCCCAGATGAAGATATCATGATATTTCCTCAGAGAGCCCTCTCAAGAGAGAGCATTAGACGCTTCAAGAGCCACTCCAACCCATCCCAAGTCACACTCAGTGGAAGCGATTCAAATGGGAATAGGGAGTTCTGGATCAAAATAGATGCAGGCTGTAAGTACACATATATCTCCCATCCCAAAATCCAATCTACATTCCAGGGTTTGGTGATTATAGTGTGACAGAGACTAGATTATGGACCGTAGATCTTGGAATTTATTATCACTCTTTGGTTGCTGAAGATGTAACTAAATTTTCTCGATATGCATGAAGGGAAGCCCTCCTACTTGAGGTCCCAATCTAGTTTCACACTTACATTCTCTAATTAGTACAAGTCATATGTGGGTTCAGATATCATGTCCTCCTGAAAATTGGTAGCATGTAAGGCACTAATGTAGATATAATTAATACAGTGGTCCAACTATTTTCGTAATTAACCTCACTCAGTTCTATTGTTAGCCCTCCTACTTGAGGTCCCAATCTAGTTTCACACTTACATTCTCTAATTAGTACAAGTCATATATGGGTTCAGATATCATGTCCTCCTGAAAATTGGTAGCATGTAAGGCACTAATGTAGATATAATTATTACAGTGGTCCAACTATTTTCATAATTAACCTCACTCAGTTCTATTGTTTACACTGCAGACTTGGTATTGGAGCTCTAGAGGGCAGAAGATGCATTCTGAAGTGTGGTTATGATATATTAGCATTAAACATTAAGCATTGTACTATATTTATAAATATTCTCCTCCTGGATGATTATTTTCTAGCAATATCTGAGTGGTTAAATCCTAATAAGCTAGAGAATGATAAAAGAATAAAAGAGGTCCCACTCTAAATACCCATGAGTATATGTCAAGATTGAGGTCTATCCGTCTGTTAGTAAACATGGTTCAATTATTCTAACTGTCTAACTATCTAACAACTTGTCTAACAAACTTGTAACCAATCTTCTAACTAATATCTAACTCTAAAAAATATCTAATATCTCTAACAGACAGATATAGAAACAGAAGCTGAGCTAGATCTGAAGCTGCAGCTGTGAGATGGGCGTGAGTGCTACTGATATGGTGGTGGCACTGATGCCTTAGACCGTGGCAGCATAAGCTGTGACTTCGGCTGTTGCTGTATAGGCTGTATATTCTTATCAGTTTTTAGTATATACATATATATATGGTATAGAATTTTCGTATATGTGTATATTTGTTTTGGTGTGGGGTAAAGAGTTTCTTCGACTAGTAGGGTGTAGTGGCATAATAAGTGGTATTGTGAACTTTTTGGCTCAAGTGTTCAACGATAGTCATGGTAGGAAGCTTAACGGTTATATGGTTGGGGTACTTGATCACTATACAGTTTAAAAAGAAAAAATCGTACTAAGAAAAATTCAGAAGATTCTATTTGGTTTAAGTGTACGTTTTTGAACCCTGGTTCTTTTAACTTTTGGACCAAAAAAAAAGAGGGTATTTACACAGTGATCCCTTAAACTATTGTTAAGTATCCTTTTGACCTTCTATATTAAGAAAACATACAAATTGACTTTCTAAATTATGGATATTGTAAGAGGGAGAGGTTAGTTTGCAGTTCTATTTTCTCATTTCTTGGTTGAGCTTGTATATAAGAGTTGGCTGCTAGTTCTCAGTTCTACAGTTTATGGCAGTTTGCAGCAGCAGATTGGGTGTAGATGTGTCCATCCGAGTGTTTGTTGCTGCTGTTAACTAATATCTAATAAAAGGTCCATAATTGCTCATGTATAATCAGTTTAACTCTTACAAAGAGAGTTTTGAATATTAATTAAGTTCCCATAACTTGAGATCAATTTAAATCTATAAATTTTAATTTCATTTTCAAATCCAAATTTACATATCCAAATACAGTTTATTTGGAGTTAAATCACATACCTTTTTTTTTTTGGGTTCAATCGGTCATAGATTAATTTGAAATAATGATTCAAAATCCAACAATATCTTTAAAGTCAACAATTTCCAAACTCAATAACAATCACATGAAGAACTACATATAACCCGATCGAACTATACTCCACAAAACTTAAACAACAACCTCAAACTACATAGTATTGCTATATCTATAGGCCAAAAATCCTTACTCACCTACCCATTTTCTTTTACCCATCGTGTTTTTAATGACGGCATGGATAGACGAAAAACTTTTACACATAGCTTTCACAAATGGTTGGAAATATTGACATAAAATACAATGCATTGATATAATATCTACTTTTAGCCAATGTTATTGGCATTTTACCATAAACCAATAATTTTTTTTCTTTGAAAACAGAACAAAATAAAAATCTAGAATCCTTTTTTTTTTTTTTTTGTGATGGCTACTATATATAACATTTTTGTTTCACCAAACTTTTCATCTCCTTGGCGAGTTCTCATATATAATAATATGATAAATTTCAAATATAATGGCTATCTTTATGTGTACATATATATAAATATAGATATAGATATAGATATAGATACAAATACAGATTTTAAAAAAACTCATAAGAAAACAGTATACAAGTATAGTAAGAGTCAGCCACTCTTAGTGGCATTTTATCAAGCACCTAAGAGGCATAATAATATATAGTAGTGCAATATATCAGAGAAACTATGACCCTATATAACTTAACCACCTATGTAGACAATTTCAACAATCCAAAAGTACATTACTATTCAAAAACATTGTACAGTACAAAACCAGAATGAAAATTGAAGAAAATCCTTCAAGAAGATGAAAAACTCATTTCAACTTCATACTAAAATCACAGAAATGGTTAATGTACTTCTTACTAAATTAAAACCAATTCATCCAAAATAACAGAGCACTGAGTGTTTCTTCTTCTTTTTTTGGTTCAATTTTTCAAAAAAAATAAAAATAAAAATAAAAAAATTAACCCAAACAGAAAGAAATACATAAAACATCAAATTACCTAAGAAGCTTCAACGATGAATAATAGAGCTTCAACTCCTTATAGCTCTGATCCAGTAAATCGACCAACTCGTCTAATCGGAGACACAAACTTGCCAAATCAAACGCAAAAACTTGAAACAAATTCCAAGTGTTCTCTAGGGGTTTTTTGTATGCTTGATTTACAATTTTACTTGGAAGAAATACAACGCAAGGGAGGGGTCGTGCAAGAGATGGAAACTGAATGGAAAAATCGCGGCAAATTTAGAGCGCCTTTTTTTTCCAGGTTTCAATAGCATTCTATCCTTGCTATAGCCTGTAGAACTAAATTCCGTATTAGCGAACCTTTAACATTGTTTTTTAATTGCAATTAAAATATAAAAAATTGCTATAAAAAATTAAATATTATTATTCAAAAATCTTTTACAGCACTTTATTAAAAAATGCTATGTATACCTTTTATTTTATAACATTTATAAAAAAAAAGCTATAAACAAATGTTATTAATTAAACTTTTTGTTGTAGTAGCACTAAATCTAACTAGTTGGACTTTAGATTACTCTGGATTCAACTCCAGCGGCTCCATGTCTTCCTGCTCAAATGGAATCGACACATCGAGCACCACTTGTGCGGCTGCTAGTGCCTTGATCCAGCTGTGTTTGAAGCCCTGGTTCTTGAACTTCATGGCCTCACCGACATATTTTTCCATTGTCGTTTTCTTTTTTTTTTATCAAGGGCCTTAGAGGCCGTTGACTGCGCCTCTTCCGTCGCTTTCTTTGCTTCTAGAAGCTCAGTCCTGAGCTT